CCTGATCTCCACAAGTGAGAGGTATCAAAGCAGGGCAAAGCAAAAATATTGGGACTAATGCCTCTTCCTGTGTATTTTTGCAGGAGATGCTACCTATCTGGACATCTTCCGGGAGTTCTCTCATATGGCTTCAAACAACCCTGAGAAACTCAATAGGAGGAGCCTGCATTTCAGCCAGTCTTGCAGATAGCCCCCTCCCTTCCTCTGCCAAAACCTTTTTCTAGAGGGTCAAGCTCTGAGTTGCCTGAGCTCTATCAGCACAGAAAGGTGGAGATGTCTGAGAGGGTGTAACAGGCAAGCTGAGCTTAGCTGCTGAAGGAAGATGTTCTCTATTCAGACATGCTTCTGCTGGAAACCTCTGTTTTCCCTGGTGCCTGCTTTTGTGCCCTGACCAGCATGATGAGAGATGCGCCAGGGGTCTGAAAGTAATTACAGAGTAGGCTTGCACTCAGGCTCTAGTCCTGGTTACCATTCCTTGCTGATTCTGAATGCAGTCTAAAATGGGTGTCAAGCTGATGTTTTTTAGCTCTTGATGCTGTCTTTACATTGCCATTTTTGGAAGAGCCCTCCGTTTTGGGGAGTTTGCAATTGTTAGCCTTTATGATACTGCAACAGTATCAGTCCCTGAAAAGAAGTACAAGTGGTCCTGATCGTTGAGGATGTTGACCTCAACCAAGTCTGAAGTGCTCCAAAACTGGGGAAAGTGACCGTTGCAGACTTTTAGTTATGCTGTTTTGTGACAGTGTAAGTGGAGCAAGACTGTTCAGCTTCATCTGGCTCGTTGATAGACAGCACCAGCCACCTGCTGTGCTCTAAGGTATTACCCGTTTCCCAGAGCGGCCACAGAATGCAATCCCCTGCGGAATGAGGCACTCCACACACAGCCCCTTGTGCTCTCAATAGAAGAAGGCCTCTCAGGACACAGCACCAGATATACCGCCCAGCCATAAGGGGCCCTGTCTTGACCAGTCCACTGTGAAACCTTTGGGTTGAAAAAAATGAGGCAAGTCACCTCATTTTGCTGTGCAGTTCACCTCTTAAAATACCTCTACCACTGAGTGCTATGAGGCATGGTTTAACATGGACTGGGAGATACAATAATGATTTCATGGTGACTTTACAAGCAGTCCTGAAAACAGAATCTGGCTATTTCTCTCAGGAGCTCTCTATCTCCTGCTAATTGTGCATCTCAGTGTTAGAAGAGCTGTACTCTTCTACAAAGCATGGCTTTCAGTATTATTTTTGTCATTATTATTATTATTATATGTCATAGTTATCAAAAATAATAAAAGGTTATGTGTGCACTATACAGGTATAGGCACCATGACATAATAAAGTGCATTGTCAGAATGATGTATATAAACTATGACATGCTGAAATGTAATATATCGTACAGCTGAAGAAATGTATTTTTTTTTTTTGGAAAAGGTGGGAGTGAAAAAGATCTCACATACAGACAATATCTATGAACTGAGAATAAAGCCAGGATTTTTTTTTGAAGTTCACACGCATTTCCTCATTCTTTTGATCTTAGATCTTTGCAAGCCAGTGGAACATTTCAGTATGAGAGGGTTTAAAACATGAAATTTATCTATATGGCTTGAAGGCAGGAAGCCAAATGAATTTTTCTCCAAAGAGACACAGGTTCCTCACCCTATTGATAATTGTTCCATTTTTTTCTGATTAAGACACACTGTAACTCCATTAATGTCTATGGCAGTTTTGCCACTAATTTCCACAGAGGCAGTGCTATACCAGGAGTTAGAGGTGGACAGGGAATAATAATAATTAAGATAGTATTGTGGGTGAAAAAACAGTGTATACTGAAGGGAGAGGGGGAGAGAGAGGTGTCTGTTTGTGAACAACATCTATAACCTTCATGGGAGTGAGACCATCATTTTAATCACTGAAATACTTTTACTTGCTATCTGAAGCCCCCTGTGGATCAGATAACAACAATCACTTTTTCCTGAACATAACTGAAGAAATAAATACAGCTTCCATGCTTATAAGGCTGCAGAATGGGTAAAGTAATCACAGCACAACACTAGGAATGCAGCAGCTTAACAGACAGTGCAGTTTCTCTGACAAGATGTTTCTCATAAGAGACAGGCTGATATCTCCCTAACCAGACATCAGCATGTAGCTTTCACAAGCTGCCACGGACGCAAGGACCCAATGGGAGATGCTACTGGGTGAGCACAGAGCCGTATGGTGGGACGTGCACTTGGTGAGAGGGCTGGGCTCCCCTGCGCTTGGCTGGGCGGTGCTTCTGGTGCTTCTGGAACACGGGCTTGCAGAAAAGCAGCTGCTTTTGGAACAGCTAACAGCCTTCTGGTCTTATTCACGGGCGAGCTTCTCCTGACAGCCCCTGGATTTCATTACCGACCAACAAGAACAATGCAGTCATTATTTTCCCTGTCTCCCCAAGGTGTCCAGGAACTAGAACAGCTGTCAGACTTGCCAGATTTTAAACGCTGCAGGACAGTATTGTGCCAGACAGATGAATTGCATAACTGCAAGAAATCACATGCATTGGGCTGGCTGAGAACATTGTATGAATTCAGCTTCACGCGCACACTGTGCCCAGGATCCTATTCCATGTGACTCTCTGAGGTGGCACATGAAGCCCAGATCCTCAGGCAAAACTGCCACCCATGTGCCCTCTACCTACACAAAGCCCTGGCAGCTGCGGCTGGCAGTTGCCTCGAAACGTGGCTGCTTGCTGGAAGAGTATAGAAAAAGCTTTATCTCATATGGTTTCCTAGAGGATTATATGGGATGTCTGGGAACTGTAACCAGCACACATCTTCTGAGTTGTGATTATTTCCCCTCTCTGCCTAAGAGAAAAACTGTGCTTGCTTTGGAGAGAGACCATCCATTCCCTTCCTCATAAAGCTAGAATAAAGGCAGCCCACTCCTGCCTCAACCTTCAGCTCTGATGCAAGTGTCCCGAGGTCAGATCCTTGCCAGGCCTCTGTCTCCCTGACTTGGGGAACTTCGCATTGCTTTCTCTTGGGAGAGAGTGCATGTGTGGAGTGGCTGTGCAAAGCAAGGCTGGGGGTGCCTGGCTCTGCACTATCTCCTCCATGCAGAGGAAGGGCTGGTCAGGCCCATGAAGTATGCCTTGACATGCAGCTTCCAGCAGGAAGGGCTCTGAAACAATTTGCTGCATTTTCTGCTGCTCAGCTTTGATTTGATATTATACAAGAGTAACGACTAAGACAGGAGCAGAGACTTGGGAACCAGGACTCCAGATTTATTTACCTTTCTAAAGAGTTGCTCTATGACTCTGAGCATATCGGTGACCCCTGTCTGTGCCTCAGTTTTTGCCACCCCCAAACTTCACGCTGGAAATCCACAGCTGAGATATAAGGAACTCCAGGTAGGGCTGATATTTCAGTGATGATACCAAAAGCACTAAGTTATGACCCTAATGAAGAATTTGTATGACTGGTTTCTCAACTACAGCAGAGTAAGGGAATGTTCTATAATAAAAAAGGTAGGTACTAATCCGAAAAATACTCCATGCCCACAGAGAAGATCACTCTAAGCTATCTTCAGACTGGTACCTATTACTTATGGTTCCACTAGCTTAGAAACCTTTGTTTTATTCTACTAAAAGTGGCATGAGTAGGTACAAAGTAAACTTTCCCCAAGTCCTCCTCCCACAGTAAAATCCACACTCTTCTGCTCTTTGAATCTCATGTCTCAGTTCTACCAATAGACATCTCCTGATCACTCACATACCATGGTACCAACACACCTCCCTCCCAGCTTGCAACACCCCTTGCTATTCTGCCTCTGCACATGTATAAAATCAAGCACACATCACTGCTAAAAGATCCCTGTCCTGCATTGCCACACCCCTATTGCTCCAAATACGATCAAGAGACAACACATTGCCATTGTGTCTTTGGTCATTTCTGTCACATGACCTGACCCATTGTTCCAGATTTGATCTCCAGAGGGAAAGGAGAACCCATCCTTCAACATAAGGTGTGGGATTTCCTTTTAGCTAATCTTTAGCTTTCCCATCAGAGCTTAGCCCCAGTGGTAACAAACCTGGGAGTTCTGAGATGGGCTTTCTTTTGAGAGTGAGGTGTATGCACATAGATAGACACGAGTGTACTTAAGGCATTGCAGTGTTCCAGTAATGACTGCATGGCATACTGATGATTTTATCCATGTGAGTTTTGTATTCCCAGGACATGCCCAGGTGTTCTGCTTACAAGTATCTCTTCTCAACAGGGTCAGTTGGACTAAAATTCCCTCGTCAGCCAGCCAATAAGCTGTACTTCCCAGAGCAGAAACACAAAGCCTAGCTTTGGGCTCTTAACAGCCCCAGAGATGGGCCTCTCTATGGAGCCCATATGTTCCTATTCTCTGTAACTTGCACAATTGCACATTATAGCGCAATTCATTTGGATTTGACCTACACCTCTGTAGGTTCTCCTTGTGAATGGAAAAAAACAGAACATCCAGAGAGGCAGGGGTAGGCCTAGGGACCCAGGAAACAGTGCTGCAGGGTCCAGGCTATTAAAAGGTTTCAAAAGCTGAAACTAAGACTTTCAAAAGCACCTTGGTGCTCAGCTTCCAACGATGTCAGTGGCAGACTGCATGCCTTGACAATCCCACCTCACCTGCACATGTCTTTGGAAAGAAAACCCTTTTCATGATTTAGCCCTAAGCTTTTTGGCTTCTGTGAATAAAGCTTGAACATTTTGGAGGAGATATTTCCAGAGCCAGAAATTAGAAGCAAAAATCATTCACTGCCTTTCAAATGACCCTCTAGGGCAGTAACAAACCCAAATATTGGCTAAAGGCAAAGAAAACAATATCAAACAAAACTCTCAGTCACTGTTGGTATTCAGAGCATTTTATTATTTAAAAAGTTGCAAAACAAAATTCATTGAATTCTTGTTAATTCTTATTTTCCACAGAAAGTCATAACAAGATTAAAGCAGAATAAAATGCTCCCCTATAAATATCATCAAAAATAAATCTGTTATTTTATGTACACATAAGTTACTGTCAAATATTAACATTAAAACATTCCTCTATATTTATAAAGAGGCTGCAACAAAAATGCAGCATTGTTTCAATCTTCTAAACAACTCAGGTAGCAACAATGATAGGAAAAAAAAGATCGATCAACCCCATTTCCTTGAACTCCTTTCCTCTAGGAATGTGAGTCCCATTTAGCCCATCTGGGCTAAATCTAAAAACGTCCCAGCAAAAGCATTCTGTGCATTCTCCTTAAAATGTAATAGTAGTAGGTTGAGGGCAGAGAAGTGTCTTGGAAGCAAAGCTGCAATCAAACCAGCCTCGCATTCAAGGCAACTCTGACTGGGATGAACCCCAGCAGCCTCAGCTGGAAACCTTTCCGTTTACAAGCAGGCTGACTTTTTCTCGAGTACATTTGTGAAATGCAGATGGGCCTATTTGAAGCCACAAGCTGACTTCCTCACAAGGGTTTAAAAGTTAGAAGCTATGAATAAACTTTTATGCGGACTGGATAACTGCCCCAGAGAGTTATCCTAAAGCCCTCCCTCCTCCCTGCAACAAATATTCATTAAGAACAAAAGAACACTGCATTCTGCCTGAATCCAGAGCATACAGGTAGGTTTAATAATGAGCTTATAATAGCTGAAGGAGGATTCCCGAGCTCAGCACTGTGGTATTTAGGAGCTCAGAGATTGTGAAAACAGCACGTTTCTGTTTGTGGCCTTTCTGATGGCACCTGAGCCCCTGTGGCCTCACCTTTCTGATGCATTCTGGGACCGTCAAGTCTCCCACTGCTCTGTGGACACACACACCACTCTTAGCTATTCAGTTCCCCTTCCAAAGAGCTGTTCTTCATGTACCTAAATCATTTAAGCACCACATCCGGGCAAAGCTCTGGCATTTCCACCTTGCTGGAGAGCAGGTGAAGATGCAGGTCACTGTTGTTGTCCATGGCAATGGTCACTACAGGAGCATGAGTCTGAGCAGAACCACAGCCTTTCCCAGCCTCCTCCTGCACAGCTCGGTAGTTTTCTAACATCAAGCTCACGGTGGGGACGGCAGGAGTGTGCGCTACTTTTAACGTCTTCTTTGACCTGAACCTTTGGTAGCAGAAGAGGAGAGACAAGACTAGCGTATCTATGAGCAGCTCAAACATTTCAACCACAGACAACACTGAGGATCCAAACCATAGACTCCACTGGCTTCCCATGCTGGACAGAAGCAAATTATCCTGTGGAAAGAACCAAAGGGCTGTGTTTAGCAAACACAGGAGAGTGCTGGGAACATGACATTGTTACACGTTATCAGCAGGTCAATTATCTACTTGCCATTTGGAAGAAATTTGTGTGACCCTGAGTAAACTGTGAAATTTTCTTAGTCACTTGCTTAAGAAGAAAAATCTTATCCCATTCCGGGGGCTGGAAATAATCCTCCCTCCAACCATACACAGCACAGTAGTATGTGATTAGTTAATTAATCAATTAATGAAAGATAAGAATGCTGTGAGCTGATCTAGTGCAACCTACTGAGAGCAAAGGAGACTCGTTCACAGACTGGTAGTTCAGTTGCTGGTAGAAGATAGTCACCTTGGCAATATCCTTCCTGCATTGGAGAAAGGAAGCAGTTAGCAGGGGCAAGATGTTTGCATGGCCTTCACCTGGTGGAAGGTACAGATGGCATTCTGGTCTCAATGATTTTACCCAGGGATTGGTGGGCAATAGTTGTCACCACTCACTCAAGCTTTATTCTTGAGGGTGTTTAAAATGAACTTGGAAAATGATGCTATAAAAAGGTGCTAAAAGGGACTGTCTTACAGCACTGTGAGGGAAGACAGGAAATGTATTGGATGACCTTGTACCTCCTTTCCTGGTTTAACATCTATAACTTTCATGAGAACAAAGAGTTAATCCATGTTTTAATAGATCCTAGAATGAAGAGAACACCTGTTACCTTTGCTCGGTGACTAACCTGTTGCTAGTAGAGTTATATCCATTCTGATGTCTTAGAGCTTGGCGGATCCAGTCCTGCAGCAGAATATATGTATGTTACTGGCAATCCTGTCTTCCAAATTTTGGTATGTTTAATGTATTTTAAAGGTAGATTTCATAAGCAGTAAAGTGGCTATCATTAATAATGATAAAAGGACTTAATTGGTTGGCTTGTGGCATACAGTGACAGCTATCAAGTGTTAATATTTGCCAGTGCAGCAGGGAAATATGCACCGATATTTTAGGTGTGTATAGGACTCTGGTTCTTAAATTCTGCCTTTAACGGCTATCCCACTAAATTATTTCATCTTTTAAAAGGTATTGGTTGTATTTATCTCTACATTATCACCTATGTGAAATGGATTAATCGCCTGGCCATGTACCTGAATGCCCATTCAGCATTAGAACATGAGAAATGACAAGAGGTTATCTACTGACTCACAGAGTTTCCACTGCAGCCCTGCAAAACCTCACAAACAGCGATGAGTGAGTTATTACACCACAACACCCTCTGGAATCAGAAAGTCATTAATGCCATTGCAGGTAGGAACTAGGGCAGTGAGGTGAATTGCTTAAGGTCACAAGGAAGTTTGGGTTAGAACTGGGATTGAATATACCTAGAATCTTCATCTGACATCATAGCTATGAGGTCCTTCCCCTGCACCCACGTTTTGGCCAGTTTGCTTTATTTGCCTCTTCTATTGCTACTACCTGAGTCACTGTTTTCATGCTTAGCTTTAATATTTTCCAAGCCCTACTAAACAGTATCGCCTCTGCACATAGAGGTTGTTTGTGTGGACTACCTGAGACTTCACTGACGGCCATTTAGCTGTCCCAGCAGACACTTTGTACAGTGATTCCCTATTAAGACAAAAACGGAGATTATTTATCAGTACGATTCTGGCACTTGAAAGCGAATATATGAAGGAGTTTAATATTGCCAGCTGATTCCCCAAAGCAGAAGTTCTGTGGGCTGCTCTTGAGAACCTTGGAATAAGCAATGTAAATCAGCTTATACAATAAAGCCAGAGCTTGCCTGAAAACTGTTCAGGTCAAAAAGAAAACTAGAATGGCTTCAAAATAGTGACAATTTTCTGCCTGACATGTTCAAAACCGAAACATTTGACATTTTGCTTTCAAGTGGCGGTTTTCCCTTTTGAAATGGACCTACAATAAAAAGGTGAATCAAAAAAGTAATACAGACTGAAAAATGACACAAAGGATTTTGGTTTGGGTTTAATAAAACATTTCTGTGATTGAAACAATTTCCCTTCCCAGCTATCATGCACATACAAAGTTCTTGTTTAATTTGCCTAATGTTGTCATGCTTTTTCCGTTCTTGGCTTTTCAGGCTCAGCCATCAAACTGAATTTCCAGTTCAGAAAATGCCAGAATACAGTCATCCATTTGGCTGACAAATATTCCACTAAGTTGTCTACGCTTCCACTGGTGTCATTTTCTTCTGCAAGATGACATTTTTTTGTGCTTTACTTTTGCGACCTACCGACATGGCTTGGGACATTGGTCAAAACAATTGAGGTGATGATTCCTGAGCCTGTTGTACAGCTGGTAAAAGCAGTGACCTGGTGGAAGAAATGGGGAGGAATACACTCAGACACTTCCTCAGGAAACATGCTACCAAAACCTCTGCCCTCGCTTGGCCTTCCCAGGCATGCAGCCCTCTCTGAGAGACCTGTTCTTCGCCTCACTCCCACTTTAGAATGGCTGCAAATGGCAGAGGTAACTGTTTGCCTGCACTCCGGGACCCTTCTCTGGAAGCTGTAAGGGTCTCCTAGGGAGAAAGCAACCAGAAAACCAAAAGAAGTTATTCTGCGAATGAGAGCTTTGTCTTACACCAACACAGGCACTGGTATTGGTAACATGAAAGAGCTTGATAGTAAGATTGGCCCTGCTCTTCTCTTGAAATGAATGCTTGATAGTAGCAAGATATTTTATGAAATAACTTGATATCCATGCAGATACAGTTACCTGCCATCTGGATAGATTCAGTGATGTGAGGAAATAGTCTAAGCAGCAAATAAGCACAAAGTAGAAGGGCAGTAATCCAAAGAGTCACAGAACCAGTCCCTATTCTAGGAAGGTGTCCTCTGCAGACCAGGACAGGACTGCAGTCCTTTGCCCTTACCCCATGCAGGATGCTTGTTGTAGTTACAGTATTCAGCACTGGGAGGCAGTGGGTAGTAGTAATAACCACAGCCACATTTTCTAACCATTATGTGCTGAAAGCAGAGTAAGACATAGGAGAGTGGTAGCTAGCTTAAAAAAAAAAAAAAAAAAAAGTCACAAAAGCGTGGATGAGCCAAAAATTCGCAAGTGCCCAAAACTTCAGCCCTTAGCATGCAGCTGCTAGAAGATGACCTACAGATGTTACAGACTTACAAATGACCTTACGGCTGAAAGACATCAGATGTTACTAGACACTACTGAGGCAAAAGGTTTTCACTTTTCACCCCTTGGCTTTACCTCTGGAAACTGTATTGAACTCAGTGGGACAGAAGTTTCTCCAGCTCTCTCTTTCTTTATGCCCAGTAACAGCTCAGTTAAACCACCCAAACACCCTCAGCCAGGAGGAAATACTTACGAAAATAAATATCTGAAGGCCCAAGGATGTCCTACTGGAACAGCCCAGCTGCCTTTAACTCACTGTCTCATCTCCCAGTCATACTTGCGTTACAAGGCCCCAGTGTTTGGGGCTGAGTATCCCCTGCTCAGTAAAACATGTTACAAGTTCTAACACCCTGTGCGTGAGCTGCTTTTGGCAGGGGCATGAATCTCTGCTATCTCTAGCAATGAACCTGCTGATTTGTAAAAGCTCTCTGAAGGTTAAGGTATGAATTGTTTGCTATTATGCAAAGGCCTCAGCCAGCCACTCTGACAATACCTGCAGGGTGTAGGAGTTGTTGTACAGAAGTTTAACGTTCACATCATTGCCATTAGTTGTGCATTTCCCATAATTGCCACCCAGACGATTCACCTCATCCTGTGGACACAGAAAAGAGGCCTGAGTGGAGCTTTAATTGGATCTAGCCATCACCATCCAAACTCAACTGCACAGGTGATCATATAAAGGACAGGAAGTGCAGCAACACGTGTGAGCAGTCAAGTTATACCTTGCTAACAAAACATACACGGTGAAAAAGGCAACATAAACGAACACAAGTGGTCAGACACTATAGTACAGCGGACAAGCAGTAACTCTTCAGGTCAAAATAACTCAATCACTTTTGAATGTTTGTTCTCATCCTTATATACATGTGCAGCCCCGTGTTCAGCTGGAATAAGATGTGAGAGCTTTGGTGTAAGAGCAAATCAGGTTCTAACTTTCTGAGGCCCAAAAGGCCACTTGTACGTTTGGATTAATTTTGTTTTACTTACAGGAACCTGAGCACAGTGGATAGGGAAGAGAGGCTTGCGTGAGGATATATACACAACCAAGAAGTGAACGCAAGAGCCCCACAAGCCCCTTGTATGAGTCAGTCACAGTGTTCAGCTCCTCACAACTTTCTGCAATCAGTCAAAAAAGAAGGTGAGTGGGAGGTGAATGCTCTTGAGCAAGCAGCTAACCTGCTGAATGCCTATTGTAGTCGCAATGCCTGGTCTGATGTCAAAGCCTTCATGCTCAAGGAACGGTGTCTGATTGTGGTTGTGTATCATCACTTTCACACCGGCCACTGTAGACAAGAGAGGGATGTGATCCTTCTGCTCTGCTCTCAGGATGAGGGAAAGTCCTGCAAACCAAAGAAAAGGGATTGTTGCGTAACAATGCATTTTGGGCCAAAAGAGGAACGCCACCATGCCTTGAATTCTCAGCAGTGATCAATATTGCTGTCTTGGCTCACAGAAGAGGCACTGATCTTCCTTATAGACCTGGTGAGTGGTCAGGTAATAATTGCACAAGCCTGCTCTAAAATTAGAATAATATTCTGTTTGCTATAAGTTAAGGTATACTGCCAGCTGATTTGGCTAACGTATACATGGGGCTAGTGAAGCAAGCAAATACAGTACATGGTTTGTGTTAACAAACCAGAGGAGAGGGCTACATGCCAGTTAGTCATTTATAGAAGAAACATATTTCATCCATCACAAATTATATTCACTTTAGCCCCTCTTCCAACCCTTTGCCAAATACCATACCGTAAGGAATTCCTGGTTTTGTTGCTGTCCAAAAGGCGTCTGTCCCCTTGCTGTTAAAAGTGTAGCAGCTTCCAAAGACTGGGTGGTGAAAGTGAATATAGTCACTGAAAGCAAGAGAGATTTTGAGGGGTTTTAATTAGGAGTAACAATGCCTTCTTTCTCTGCCGCACAAACTGTGTGTGCATGTGTGTTTGTGTATAGGAATGCCTATGGGAAAGAGCTATTAAATCACCAGAGGCAAGGAAAAAAGTTAGATACAAAAGAATTCATTGCTCACCCAAGATTACAGCCAGAGTGACAAACACAGGAGTCAAATTCAGGGTTTTAACTTGCTTTTCCTTGCACCAGCTACTAGATTGCTCCCTGCCTATTTTAACAACCAGGCAGGCTGAAGTGTGAGACCACTCTGTGCAATAATCACTAGGAGAAACAGCTCCTCTCTCCTCATTTTCCCAAAAGTTATGCCACATGTTATGATCGTGCTGAACTTTCCTCGTCAAGTCAGCCTCCACATTCTGCCATTTTATAAGAGTTCTTAAGGAAGGAATAGGATAAACACAGGTACCAAAGTGACAGCGCTCATCATCCAGTGCATAGACAGAGGCATGTCACATGAAAGCATCAGCAACACTAAGTGCATTTGCAGAAGAAGAGAAGAACCAACTGCTTTGAGAAAAGATAAGGTAGGTCCTTATTTTGTAAAATGATTTACAACAAACACTGCAGAACCACCTCCTCTTTGCTGAAGGGGCTCACAACAAACACTTAAATTTGCCTCTGCTTGTTCCATGTCATAGATGAGTGCGTTGCTGTTAACTTTTCTCATGTCATCAGCTGAGAACAACTCAGGCCTGCAAATGTGTGCCTGGGATACTGCATTGTTTTTGTGTGGTTCAGCACTGCCTTTGGAAGAGCTTCTGCTAGCAGAAACTGCAGGTATGCAGGAATAAAAAGCTATATCTTTAGCATGTGATGCATGCTCCCTTATTCCCTTCTGGGGACAAAACAATCCAAAGATCATCTGTCTTTTTTGGCATTGCCTGGGCCTTCCTGGCATAATGGTTGAGAACAATCTCTGTGCTCAGGGGCCAAGCCTCACACTAAGTGCTACAGTGGAGCAGTGAGAGCCTTATTCTTCCCCTCCACTTCCCCCTTTTCATTATTGCAGCAAAAATAGATCCTGCTTTTATCCAGTGTCTGTCTGAGAAATCCTGCTCCTTTCCTCCCAAGCAGATAGACATTTGTTGTTTATCATTCAATACAGTCAACACATCTTTGTACTAGCAAAGGTTTAATGCCCACTGAGTTTCTCTTAGGCTTCTTTGACAGCCTAAGACACTTGCTCACAGTCATAGAGGTAGATGTGGGAGTATGCTGATTTCTGGGTTCCCAGTCCCATGCTTTGTTCATAGAAGACTGTCCCCACTTTCTTTCACTCAGACTTTCTGAATAGACACAGTGCAGGCTCACTTTCAGTCTCCCAAGCCCTTGTGTTTTGCTGAAATCACAATTAGCATCTCAAGAAGCAATGTACCTGGGCCTGCAGGGCTCCCCATCATACTGACAGGAATAGACCATATCTTCTATTTGCTCCTCATGATGAGAAATGTTGATTATAACTGGCAGCTGGGACATGATATTCATATAGTGAAACCTGTACCATTCAAGAATTGCATCCATCCCAGATGAGTAGGTCTTGTAGAAGCAATTTCCACCTGTGGCATTGCACTAGGAGGAAAGAAGAGAGGGAGAAAAAAGTCAAACTCTATCCAGCGCAGCCAAGACATAATAGCCTCTCTAAGGGTTACAGAGATCAGGGGTGAAGCCAACACTGGGTACACGGGCAAGGGGAAACCTGTATTTTTCCACAAAATGAAATCTATGACCACTTCAGTTATGTACTAGGAATCCCTCAGGAAGTGGATGAGGACTGTTGCTTCATCTCAGAGCAATCAGTGCAGGGGAAAAGAGGCACAAGAAGAGAGGCAGACAAACAAACCCAAGTACTCTGTAAGAAGGAAGTACCTGGCTGATGGGAATTCTTCACAACCTGTGAATCATGGACAAGTCCTGAGATGCTTCCTGTGTTCTTACTCAGGCTTTAGACATGTGAACACCCACACACTCTGGTGAAAGTGTGCCTGGGGAAGGACTTCAGGATAGGGCAGGATGATAATAATCAGGCAAAAATTGTTGGCCTTTCAAGCCACCTCAATCCCACTCCCTTTTGCTTTTAGGTCTATGCTAACTGTTTTTGAGGTGAAGAATTTGAGGCATTTGCATTCTTCTCCAAAGTCATGACATTCATTTATTGTATTCATCCTCCGGATTTATTATAGTCATCTTTTGTTTTAGCTGCAACACTTCTAGTGCCCTCAGTACCACAGCATTTGGGCACTGAGGAAGTCCTCACAGGTTATTTTAGACAGACTCTTCTTTCTCTGTTCTTTCTCTGTTATTTCTAGGCTCACCTGCTAAGTATAGATGTTGCGTATATGTTTAGAAAGGGGTACAATGACTCCCATAGCCTGCTGCTACCTTTCTCTATTGAATTTGTTATTGTCAGAAGGACTTCAGAAGTTGATGGGTTGTGTAAGACCATTGATATTGCTAGTGCTTCACTTTACAAGAGTCTTGGCAATCAGCATAAAATGTAAAAGATAGGGATGGACTCTCCTGAAATATTCTCCAGGATGTTGTTAAACAGCACTGAAATTATATCTGCTGCTTTGTTCAGGCACTTTGGGACGGGGCCCTGGCTGGTGAGGCTCCTGCCCTGCCAGCTGTGATATCATCCTTGGCTCCCAGTTTGCTGGCCCTTAAGGAGCAGCTGGCCCGTGCTGCATCCTGACAATGTTGTGTGTGGGTAGATTAAAATGTTGAATAGGCAACATAACGCTGGTGTTACACTTACCAGTCTGAAGCCCACCTTGGAATGGGTCTTTACTGCTCTAATACTGTGGTCAGATATTCTCAAGAGTGAGAAGTTTTGGCTCAGCTTGAAGCTGGACCTGCTGAGATTGCCTATACTTGACGTGTCTTTTACTTGGATGTTTTTCTCGTTCATATGGAATAAGCTGGCTGATGTGTTGATGCCATATAAAAAAGCAATAGATTCCTCTGCCATTTGATCCAGTTGAACTAAATGTTCACTGACCAGTTCAAATCTGTAAAGAACAGAAATATTAGCTATTTTTGAATGTCCATATTTCTATTAGGTAAAGACATTTTATTCTAGGTATTCATGGTATCTACGGAAAGGCTACATTTCTGGTCTCCACAGACCAGATGTCTTTGTGAGAAAAATGAGCAGTTATGGTGCTATGCTATGTACCTAATATGAATATATTAATTTACTAGGAACTCTAGTAGCTGAATTTCCAGTTGCCAGCTCCTCTATAGAAAAACCTCAGAATTTGCAATCATGCAGCATCAGCTGCACAAACAGGGATTCCTGCCAGCCAATTAGATAATTATTCTCAGGAATTTACATAGTTCTTTGCTACATAATTTAAAACCTCTTGATAACTTACTATGCCTATATGAGCCTTGCTCGGCAAGCAGAGCCAAACAGAGTTCCATGGAAGTTTAGATTGTTTCCTTAAACTCATCCATCTGTGCAAATGGCCAGGCAGAATCAGCTTTAGCTTGCTTTTAGCTGTGACTTAGTTCCTTGTTCCAGTGATGTGTAATTTAGATTTGAATGAATATATGTGGTAGCTATGTATTCAGGGAAAGATTGCTTTTATCAGAGCACAAAATCAGTTAACAACTTGAACAAAGTCATAAGGTAGAGTTCCATCTATCCTGAATAGGTATGTGATATCAAATGCTATGTACTGTTGCTCAGCTCCAGATCAAGATCTGATCTCAAAACCGGTTTGGAAATACAGACCCTCTCCATAGCTCTTTGAGCTCTACCTACTGTCCTCCCACTGCTTGGACTAACAGGAAATTATTTCAACTACCTCCTGTTTGAAGTCATAAAATAAGGTTGCTGACCTTTTCTGAACCCTTGTAACTCTAAAGACACTACTACGGCCATCAGGAAAGCACAGGTTACCTGTATGGGTCCAGATTGCAGATAGTGATCGCTGGAAACATCTTGGGCTCTGAATGCATCGACATGGTCAAGACAACAGGGTAGGCCCAGTACTGGCTGAACATAAGCGCAAATTGCCAGTATAACATGCCAAAGCTGGCAAGTAAAAGCAGAGTCCAAAAAGCTGTTTTCATCTTATTGCTGTCTGAGCACACCAGGCGGATAGTGCCATGAATTGTTGTGTTCTTACAGAAGAACTCAAACATATCCTTGAAGGAATCATAAAACTCAATCAAGCCTTCTTTTTTCTCTTCTTCCTGTCTTGCCACTTCCTGCTCCATCCTCTAAGCCTGTTTCTGATCAATAAAAAACAAAAGGACGGAGGGAGTTATTAGCTTCCTAGAAAGCACATGGCCAATCTACGGACTCTTTCAGGGCACTGATGAGGTCATTATTTGCAAAAGCTGAAAATAACTTTGAGCGGACACCTATCCTGCCTTTCCAGAGTACGGACACCGGGAAGTAGCAAAGAAGTCAAATCTTCTGCACATTGCCTGCCGCCTAAGTAACTTCAAGTGAGTTTACCATACTCATACTGTGATAACTCTGTTAGTATGGGTATGCAAAGTTAAAATGACTAACATGTGCTAATAAGAAGTCTGCAGCCAAAGGGATGTGTAGTTTTCTTCTTTTTTACATGAATGGTTTACTCCAGAGATCTGAAAACTTTTTTACAAAGGAGGTCCTATCCTTATCTCTGTTCTACAGAAGTGAAAATGAAGCTGAAGTATTTTCTGAAGAAACTGAAAATCACCCACAAGGACTGGCATAACTGGAAATCAAAAGCCACACCTCCTTTGTCAGAGTAAGTATACTGTCCATTAAGCTGCTCAAGATAATCTCGGACTTCATGCTGAGAAAAAGAATGAAAAATTTGTATGCTTATATGGTTTAACTAGCAAGGGCCAAGGCATCTTCTTTGGCTTTAATACCAACTTGGGACATTGGGCTAATTGTGAGGTACTGCCACTTACTCAACCATGACATCAAGTCCTGTACTATGTGAGTTTCCAACATTACAGCACTCTGTGAATCACCCTACCTATTATGCTATTAAGAAAAGAGTTTGCTGAGGACACCACTTTGGTCCAACCATAACTCCAGATAAATCTTATAAGTACAGTAACAGAGTTCGAAGTCGAGGTAATGAGCACACAAAAATAATAACTAAAGCACTGTTGTAAGTGGGCTTGTGGTGTAACATGAAAGCTCAGACTCTTAACTGAGTTACTGGGCCTCGAAGGTTTTGGTAGTGGCTCAGTGTGGAGTGTCAGTGATGTTACAGCAGCTCAGCTGACACACATTAGCTCCCTAACCTGCAATAACTTTATCCTCAGTGAAAGCCCTCCGCTTTGAAACACAGTTTTATGTATGTCAAGGGTCCTTGGACTAAGACACTTCAGATGAAATGATGTCTTAAAGGAGTTACAAGCTGTTAAGACAGTCCCTTACATGCACCTACTGATACCAGTAAGACCAAGAATAACGCTTAAACAGTGAAGAGCACTCCAAAAGCTGTACACTGGTTAGCTTTACAAGAAATAGCTCACAAAAGTGTGTTATCTGACAAGGACACCTGGCTTATTGCAAGGTATTTTCCTCAAAAAAACATAACACACCTATATACTTTTGTAATTAAATATGCCAAATTATTTTTCAATTTTCTTAGACAGATACATCTTTGAAAAAGTACATGAAGTCCAGGCAAAACAGTATATAAAAGGAAGGCATGAACTATTAAAACAGTGTATGATAAAGAAATGAAGTGGGAATTAGCCATTTGAATTTTGCTGCAAGGAAACACTGCTCTCTGCATTGTTTATGTATAGTTAGACTGTTATTCCCACGCAGACACCATGCAGCCATAGTACTCTGAGCCACTGGCTACAACTTTTATCAGCTGACCTTGCAGCTGAAGGTTTACATCTAAATGCTTCTTCAGCCAAAAAGGGCTATCTGTGGCAAACCCTAGAAATGAATTTATGGTAGTCTGGCTACCAACAGTTCTTATACAATTTTGTCAGATGATTAGATTTTTGCGGTAAATCCTATGTCTAATCTTAACCAGATTCAACCCTTTCTTTTTCATTTTTCTTCAATAGGAACAAATGAAAATAAGTTTGCAGTATATATTAAGAAATATACTGAATGATTTCAGAAATATTTAAAGCACTTTAAGATCATAGAAATGAATATTGTGTGTGAAACTACAACATGAAGATGAAATTTATGTCACCATTATAATAATCTCAGCACAGTCAGCCTTGTTCTAAAGAGAAAAAGTAGAATAAAAGGGTAATACTTAGCAAAGGTAAATGATAAAGTAAATCTCTTTCTGTCAAACACACTTTTCCTATATGTAAGTTTGAATCTAAGAAAACTGCTGGGAACATTCAAATCATGCCTTTCAGGGAGAATCCACAGTTTCTAGAAATTCTGACTTGGCTCCTAGGGCTATGGCTAGTTAGCTCATACCCTTTGAATCTGCATTCTTAAAATAACTGAAATGAAAATCTATAAGAGAATGTAAAAAACCACAGGGAATCTTTCAAAACACATGTACAGGCAGCAGAAGACCCTCTCTCTCCACTGGTTTCCCAAGTCAGCCTAGCACTACATTTATTTAACACAGCAATTGCAGTCAGGGACTTAGCAATACATGTAAGAGTAATAGCAAATGTTTGCCTGTCCTGGCTAGCATAAGTGTCTCAAGAGAGGTTGCAGGTTATCAGAAAGTCAAAGCAAGTTATACAGCAGTGGCTGACAGGTACATGTTCATGTATTGTCTCAGCTGCTATGTCACATCAACTCAATGTTCAACACACACTAAAGGCCTACAAACACATCATACAGTCAGATATTTAAACATGTGTGCGTATACCTTCATCTACATATCAGTCATACGTCTCTACAGAAATATACAGTAAAACAACTCAGACCAAATGTTGAAACACCCTTACTGTACCTTGGCAGAAATTCTATCTTTGTTGAGAATATTCAGAGTAGCCACTAAACTCAGCCTTCAGCTTTATCCTGAACAGAAGACAAGTCTTGGTCCACAGCTTTCAGGTTTCTAACTGAACATATGCTGGGAGCTGTCCAGCCTATAAGGATCAAATTGATGACATCAAAAAGGGCAGGGTACTTCTTAAGAAACAGATCATGGAAATTATTCAAAGTATGATCCAAGGAATAGGAAGTGAATGAACTGGACAAACAAGTTAACATTAAGGTTACACTTAAAGTTATTTTGATTGTGTTTCTTTTTTTTTTTTTTGTCCATTTGATTTTTTGCAATGGCTATGATAGCTTTTTAGCCATATTTTTCTACCAATAGCGAAATAACTGTGGATCCTGGAAGGTCCTTTCTGCTCTGAGCTTTCCATTAAGGAATTATCTTTCTCCCTTCTTTTCATGGTTTCTGGAAGACTGCATGATCGCCAGTAATTAAAGTCATTAAGTTTTCTGCAGGTGTGCTTGAGGAATTGCATACCTTAATGTAATCGGAAATGATCGGCTATTCAGTCTGTGCAAGGCACATGTTGCTTACTGGGGAATTTAAGATGGCAGTGGACTTCTTCCTGCTTCTTCAAGACTGCATTGTTCATCTGTAGTGGGCTACCACGGAGGCATTAAGAATTTAGTAACTCTTTATATGTTGTAAATTGAATAGACTCAGAATCCGAGCTAACCATGAGGCTTTATTTAAATCAGTACACCCTGCTTTTGTAATACTACTTAGCTCAGAGTTGCAAAAGAGTATTTTATAGCATAAATAAAGCAGAAATATATTCAGAATTCTGGGACTGCTGAACATGAACGCCCGGGATGGCATGCACGATTGGTACAGACCTCTGCTGGCTGGAACACCGCTCTGCTATGGTTTGCAAGATGCCAGTTGTAACAGGAAACAGTCTAATATTCTGGATATGTATAGTAATGTTTAGAGCTGCAAATCTGAACAGCAGAGCTCCAGCCTTCCTTCTAAACTTGGCTGGGAACTAGGTTTCTATTACACTGGAAATTGTGAAATATTTTCAGTTGCAAAATGAAAGACAATTGAAATGTCTTGTAAAATTGAATTCAGAAGGAAGAGAGAAAGGACAAGGGTAAAGGAAAACACATCCTTCTGATTTTACTAATTTCAATCTTTGTTGTAGTCTGTTTAAATTTTTTGACAATTGTTTTGTGCTGGAATCTGTTTTAGAAAAACAAAACATTAAGAACATCCATCTCAAATTTTGTAAAAGTTCTCCAAAAAGAAGAAAATGCTTTTAAACAGCACCTAGTGAAATATCGTTTGTACTAAAAGGAAATTTTACAAAAAACAACACTTGGAAAGTGTTTTAAACTCAAACTGTTTTAAACCTAAACTTAAACTTTAAACTGTTTTTGAGTGGAAATATTACACTTTTGATTAAAAAACATCCGAGTGGCTATTGAATCAAGAGCCAAAGCCAAGCTACTTGTCACTGATATAAGAAGAGGTAAAAACAAAAAAACCAACAAAACAGAACTCAAACTAATTCTGTCATGTCCATTTATTTGTGTCCCCCACCCTTCTCTTTCTCTCTTCATTTAATATTGTGCAACAGAAAATGACAACTATAAATTCTTGACAATGAAATTATTGCACAATGAACATACATGAGACAAACTCTTTGTTGCTTCATTATGGCTGCAGGCCTCAGCATAGAGATTCTCTGGCGATGCATCAGAACAATACCTTCTGAGCCAGGCATGAAATTTTTCTGCAGGAAATGGAGAAGAACTGGATATACAGACAAAAACATCCCTCAAGCAAGATGCTATTTCTCTTTCTGCACTTGCTCATTTGTCATGCCATATCCCAAACTGGGAGAAAAGGGGGACAAAATTCTTTAGTTAAAGTAAGCTGGTGTTTCATTCAACATTCAGAGGCAGATTATGGAAGTAACACTCATGAGAAAGTCCCTCGGAGTTGCAGAAAAAAGATCATGCTATAATTATCTGCAGTGGGGCAGAAAAAGTCTATTAGTGCTAGTAGTAATATATGGAGGGAAGGAGTAAGTGTATCACATACTTGGTACAGCAGTGGCAAAGGTCAGTGGCTGAATACACCTTCTGATCATGTTATTTTTTACACAGAATGATGCGTTCCACGATAGTCTTCAAGCCCCTTTACCTGGGACAGTTTGTTCCACAGTCTGGCTGAACGGAATGACATCCCATTTCGTTGAGCAAAACAGCACAGGTAAGAAAACAAAGGAATCTTATCATTTTGCTTTTAAGCCTTTACACTGATGCCATGTATTAAAGGAACTGTCCACTCCCCACACTCTTGACCCTTGGCTCTACACTAGCCTTGGTTACTACACACACTCAGCATGGACTAGAATAATGCAGTTTTCACCCATTTGATAGCTAGCTGAAACAGACGTGAAAATCAGAGTGTATGAAGAAAGTGCCTTTGCATACATGCCTGTTTTAGTATCAGTACTAGCTGAGAGTGACAGCAGAGAGGTACAAAGAGTATCCCACAGGCAGAGAGAAGAGATTTTAGCTACTTCCCACGGGCAAAAAAAGTTATTCTGTGAATCAATGTTCCCTGTGGAATGGATGCAGGCACTCGGGGAAATATGTTACCAGATGATAATTTCTGTCCTTGAATATTTACCTACAGCTGGTGCATGTCAAAAAGAAGTCCTCTTTGCTCTGCATAGAGTAAATCTCTCTTAACACTGACTTCAGCCACATTAGACACTAAGCAGATGAACTGTTCAGACAATGTTCAGTATGTAGATCTTTCAGTGTGCCTACCCCTAATTACACTTGTTGTCATAACACGCTTCAGTTAAAAAAGAAGAGTCACAGAGATTAAACTGCAGCATTTTAGTGATGATCTCTAGCTAGTCACTTCTTGCCATGATTGGCTCATTCTCTACAGCTCAGATACTAACATTTTGTTCAACTTTATTTTAAATGTCCAAAACAAGAGGTGCCACAGTGTCTGGACTTCTTGTAAAAACAATGAAATTAGTGAGATGAGTCTAACCAGACAGATAAGAGTGTTTTTTCCATTCCCTAAATTACACTCTTACCCGCCTCCCACAAAGTGCTTTTGCTGTGACCCTGCAGCTCATTGAAGCTTCCACAGGAACAAGAGGGGGCACTTTAGCAACTCATTCATCAAGACTTTCCCAATTCTTTGAAAATTGCTTGCACTGAGATGCCTGAAGCAGACACCTTCACACTTTTAGCTGCTTTCCTTGCTGCCCTACCACACTGTAAACTTCATGCTGATTTGCTGTCCACTAACTGCACAAGCCATCTTTCAGCTATTAACGTTCTCCCTCTTTGCATTTGTTTCGTATTATTGCAATCTCTCACATCCCTGTCTTGCCTGTGCCTTCCAGAGACTCTCACTCCTTTCTTCGTACCTTTCTTCAGTCTGTGAGCCGAGAAAAACAGCCTTTGGCACTATTTTTCCCTAGCAGTGGAAGGGTTATGGAGCAGATCCTGCACTCTCCCTCTCTTCAGGAGGTTTGCAGGTTTACAGTTTAAACTTGATTTTTAGCAAATCTTGCTTTACTCATGTGGCTTGTACCTGCATGGATGGTATTTATTCCCAAGGAATGCTCCAGGGTATTCTCTGTCAACTCATCTTCCTACATATTCTCTCTTTATTACACAGGTCACAGCATATCAACTCAGCTTCCTTAAGCCACAGTTTACCTCATTCTGAAATCAGCATGACCTGCCTCCTCAGGTTTTGTGGAAACTCCCTCAGCAGTGCTTTCTTCATGGCCACTAGATGAGCCAGTCTATTCCTCCTCCCACCCAAAGGCAGACAAACTTCTGCAAGCAGCTATGGAAAAAGAAGGAACTCCCAGAATTTCCTCGTAGCATTTGTTGATTGGCTGTGCTGTGCATGGACTTGAATTGGCATGCATCAGACTCTGCCTCCTGTATTTTCTCTAGTTCTTACTAGCCAGAATCGCTTTCCCTTCTTTTGATAGCACAACACAAGTCTGTGTTTCTCTGCTCTCCTACTGGAGAAAGGAGTAGTACTTAGAGTTATTATGGAAGTGCTGATGACCTGTTCAGTCCTACGCAAGAGGCAGAGAAAAAGGCAATCCCTGCCCTCAAGAGCTTTCAGATATTCCTTAACGTCTCTTTTTGATCCTGCCCCAGACTTTCCTGTACTGACTGTTTTTTCAGGGGCTTTCTTCATCTCCTGGAATCTCTCGGTGTTGAAGCTCTCTGTTCTCCAAAATTTCTTTCGAGAACCTTGACATTTATTGCTTTGCTTGTGTGATGCTTTGAGCCATGGCTGAAGGAATCCATAGCTTGAAACCATAGTGAGCCAAACCTGCAAGCATACGGTAACATTGACATACCTCAGCTTCCCTTCTGTACTGGTTTTCATCTAGCCAAAGAAGCTTCAAGTACTGCAAAGGCTGCCAAACCTGCTCAAGGAAGTAGGTGAACACACCTTAACTTGTGCTGAGCTCTTTGGTGCTCGTGTTCGATCACCGTCAGTGCCTGAACTAGCAAAGCTAAAGCTGGCTGGGACACCCTGGTAGAACCGAGAAATCCCAACAATGAGCACGTACACAATCTGCCAGCCATCAGCCATTTAAACAGTCTTTAATTATACACCTTGCTATCATGAAGAAGCCCCAGATAACCCCTGCTTTTCATTAAACCTCCACCAGAGGCACACAGAGCTAAAGATGAAGCTTCAGTAGCAAAAACTTGTTCACCTCCCATATGACCAAGCATTTATTTCCACTCACTCACCTTCCTGAGTAAGAGGTCTGTAGCTGCTCCTGTCATCCCTCTGGAATAAGACTTGCTTTTCCCCCTTCTCTTCCTGTTCTCTGCTCTCCTTGTTTCTTTAGTCACAGGCCTTTACAGATGCTGCTCCACCCATTCAGACCTGTCTACCCCTCACTCATTTCAAAGATTCACAGCCTGCTGAAATCCTGCTTCCCAGCCCGTTCGATGCAATTAGGACTGGTAGAGGTTGAAGAACACCAATAAGATCTTCTTGTTCTGTGGACATGCAAGACAGCCACCTTGGAATCACAGATACCCTATCTCCATCATAAATGAAGACCGAATCTCCCTGAGCAGTTGAACAAACTCCTGGAGTAAGTGACAGAGAGTATCTCTGGCTCCCGCCTTCTTAGAATAAGCTTGCAGATCTCCCCTGGCGATCGCTATTCCTCTTGGTACTAGGAGAGAGAGTGCAATGCACTGCTTGCTGGCAATTCTCCGGGTTAATCAGTTCATAGCTTCAGACTCTTCTACTGGGAACTAGAGCAGATGTCAACAAGAGGAAGAGATACTACAGTATGGCAACTAGGGAGGAGGGGAATGAAGAAGCTGAGAACAAACTGCGCAAGGGCAAAACAGTCATTAGCAAATCAGTAACTGAAACTAGCTATTACATAAGTAGCTATGTCAGCTGTCATACCTCTTAAAATGGATGCTTATGGGATAAAATCAAATGAAATACTATATTTTCCATAAGCAACCTTTGAATGATTCCTTCACCCTCTAGAAAACAAGTCTATCTGCTTTTGAGCCTGTAACTGTTAAGTCACAGAGCTGGTACCACAATGGCGAACACGTACAAATAGCTCTAGACAACCTACTGAAACTCAGAACTTAAAAGCATAGTAACAATAGTCTGAATTCAGACAAACCCTCAGGGAAACATTGTGGCTGAAGAGAAGACCTGTTTTTAAGAAAACAGATAATTTTGTAACCTTTATCTTTTCTCTAAAAACAAAAACAAAAAAACCTAAAAGTATACATGAAATGATACCAAAAGCTTCCAAATGTGAGGATTATATAAGTGACTTTTTTTTGATTCATTCAAACTGCAGGAGATTACGTAGGAGACCTGTGAATGTTTGAAAGTCCTGGCTCTGCTTGCTGCAATATGTGGAGAGTGCTTATCCACATGGAAAGCACCATATTCAACTGGTGAGCCCTAGAATTTGCTATTAATTATTCATTTTTCATATTTTTCATGCTCAGCTTTATCAGCCAATCAAAGAGCAGAAATGCTGCCATATGACTTCCGTGACCTGTACTACACCATGAGTAATGTGCAGTGAATATTCCACCTGAACAGCACAAATACTTCTGGTCTGACCAGTCTGCTGAGCACTAGCAGAAATCCTCCACAAAAGTCCCCAGACAAAACCTAAAAGTTAAAATCAGGCATGATTTGTAATCAAAAGGAGCTAAACTGGTCTAGTGATGTTTTTTCACTGAATTTACCCAAACAGCACCATATTAAACCAAAATAAAGGCAAAAATCTACAAACTTTTCAAAACCATTCATTTAAAATCTAGGCCCTGTTTACTGGAGAGTCACTGCTTGCCAAGGACATTTTGTCCCGTCTCTAGCACATTTGCAAAGAAGAACTGCAACAAGAAGCTATCAGATTTTTTTTCTCTTATCCACCGGGACTGGGAAAGCAAAGGCAGTGAAGACGAAACTCCTCACACAGCTAAGGGTAGAGTCTGCCACAATGTGGACAGGAAAATATGAAACTGAAAGCCTTAAACTATCGAACTTTTCTCTTCTCTTGCTGTGTAATCTTGGGCAAATCCTTTCGCCTCTCTGTGTTGCTTCATCTCTGAAATGAACATAATGACACTTTGCAGCATTGTTGAGATGGTTAATTGGTGT